TTCAAGGTTTCTACCGGTATGTGGTCTAACAATGATTGACTGATGATGAAATTATGAAGCAAAATTATCGAATCGTGATAATGTCAATGATGCTGATCATAACAGTCATCGTTATTAAGAACTGGTTAAACATTGAGTGGTTGTTGTGAAGATTGTTAAGTTTTATTTGTAACCATGAATCGATCAACGGTTAGGGCTTTCACGCACAATACCGAAGGTCCTGGGTTCGAATCCTGCGGGGTGCAGGAGTCGTGGATGCTCACTGCCACTGATGAGTCCCATACCAGGACGAAACGGCCGTCCAATACATCCAGGTTTCTAATGATGGTCTAACATTGATCGAGTCATGGTTACAAATAAAACTTGTTAAACATTTAATTGGTGTGTCTGTACACAATACAGATGTTTGTGATGAAGATGATGTGTCTGTTCGGACTTGAATTGCATTGCATACTGTCTGTCTATCATACTATCTTTATAGTACCTTATTTTTTTTTACTAACCTTGACCAATGATAATGATTCCCAGATTACAGCATGAGTCATCTAAACAAAAAAATACAAATAAAATGCAACATGGGTTACATGTTAATTGTGTTTACAATCAATAATTATGGTGTATTTTTCAACTGGTTTATGAGAGTTTATTGATAAATTGAAGGGAAAAAAAATATTCTACTGTATTTTATTCGAAACCATTATAAAATGAAATAATTATGATATTCGTATTTAATGAGATGCTATGTAGCATTAACAGCATCTGATCTTGACAATCCAGAGGCATCAGATTAAATCTTTTGTCAGTTGTACTTGGGATTTTTGGTTGACAAGTTAATTTAATTAAATGGTATGTTAATGTAACCATAGTATAATAGTAATCAAGTACGGCGGATACAAAAATCTCGTATTCTATAAGTGTTGACTGCTTACAAATTAAAATATATGACACAAACCCACAATGAACCAAAATACAATAAATACTTATTTTCTTACGTCTGTTACCCCCAATGGAGTATAGGTCGCCGGTGACTATTCTCCAACTTACACTATCCTGAGCTTCCCTTTCCACTTCTGTTTAATTTTCCTTCATTCTTCTCATGTCTGTCTCCATTTCTCAGCGAAATGTGTTCCTTGGCCTGCCTCTTCTCCTTTGACATTGAGGGTTCCAAGTGACGGCTTGTCTTGTGACGCAGTTAGGTGCTTTCCTCAATGTGTGTCTAATCCACTACCAGCACTTCCTCCTGATTTCCTCCTCCACTGGAATCTGGTTTTGTCTGTCCCAGAGTAGGTTGATGCTGATGATGTCTGGCCAATGGATCCGAAGTATTTCGCCTAGACAACTGTTGATGAATAATTGTATCTTGTAGATGATGGCTCTGATAGTCTTCCAAGTTTCCACCCCATACTGCAGTACTGTCTTGACATTTGTATTGAAAATTGTCACTAAGACTAGTGATTATCTTGTAAACATGATCGATTAAATTGACCCAACGGTGAGGATTGAACTATATGGAGACGATAATTTTGTACATCCCAACTTCTGAAGACTTCCATGAGTCTATTCTAATGTTTATAAAATAGATTTAGTTTCTGTACAGAAATCGATAAACATGAATTTTTGACTAGGGTTTCGCGTGTAATAATCGCATGTACTTCATTATCAATCATAATGCCTACATTCTCTACTTGAAAAATAAACCATTTCTTTCCAAGTATACGTTTTGACTTGCAAAAGAAAATTATATCAAAGAGAATTCCCAGTAAGATGTAATTGATCATTCTAACAATAGTTCAGCGTGAAAAATAAAGTAACTAAGACAATATTCAATTTTTCTGTAATTCTAGTTAGTTGTTAATCGACCATGTCATATATTATTTAGTTCTGAGTGGTAATCTTAGTATAGTTACCGAATTACTTATTAAGCGACTAAACATTAAAAACGAGGAGAATGAATATGTGCGTAGGCTATGACCCATGATCAAGTAGACATTTTCATACAAACGTGACAGTAATAAGAGTGAAGTGGTGTACAAATAAGTTTTTGCTATTCCAATGACTCTGTTAGTCAAATAGTCAGTCAGTCAGTTGCAACGTAGAACTTCGTACGTATGTATATAAGTTCATGTTGCCATACCACATTAGCACAGAGACATGCAATTGTCAATTCAAATGCCATAGTGATTAATATAGTAGAGGTATTAATGGTAATGAAGAAGACTAGGGTTTGAAGATATTATTCAAGAAGTATGATTCAGTGAGAAAAGTTTAGAAAGACAAAGGTAGAGGTGCTGACGATTCCAGAAGATTAGGATTTGAGAGAGCACAACGAATGGATGCACTTACGCCATTGCAAACGATTTTGAGCCATGTCGTTTAAGGTCTCTAACCATCGATTACTAACATCTCGCGGACCCCAACCAGGTAGCCCACATCTAACGACATGACTCAGTCCACTTGTCATTGACTTCATGGATTTGTACCATGTTTTGATCTGGGCGCCCCTATTTTTCTTGCAATCTACTCCTATACCACGAAACATAGCTCGTCGAGGCAGTCGGTGGTTAGGCATACGCAACACATGTCCCAACCACCTCAACTGATGAAGTTTCAATACTTCATCTACTGATCTGCCATGCTTACCTAGCACCCGTTTCCTAACGACAGCATTGGTTTGTCAAATAAGTTAATAAAAAACGGCTTAATCGAGTTAAACGTGAACAAACTTAAATGTATGTAAGGTGTTATAAAATTGTAATTATAACCCAAGACTGAATGAACAGTTATTTTGCCCTAATCAAAAACTTCACAGAAAACTTCACTAACTACCAAAACAAATCATCAAGTGAAAATCTATTTAGAATTCAAGATGACTGAATTTTAAAAATTAAAATAATCATAACTGATAATATAACACAATCTTTTCAAATTAATTTCCCAGTGCATTAATGAAATTGTTGTGGAGATTGTTGATTGTCATTGAAATCATAAAACGATCCATGTTAGACCAACATTAGAAACCTGGTAGCATTAAACGGCATGACTCATTCTGTAGTGTGAGCTACTTATAAGTAGTATATGACGTGAGTATCAACGTAATGTCTGGCAGCAGAAGATGGGGGGGGGAAGATCAAGAAAGGAAGAGTTAGAAGAACACAATGGAATTTGTATGAAACGCATGAATAGTGACAATGGATTGATGTTGTTTGCAACGGGAACAGTTCAGTTCGATATGATGAACCGATATTTTGCAAATTATCGTTTATGATATGGTTTTCCGATTTTACTGAGTAACTCTGTAATTTTCGTTAAATACAATTCGGTTGCCCCACCTGTGTTCTCGTTCAATACAATTTTAGTTTCGTATTCATCAACAGTACACATATCATCATCCTGTAAGCAAGAATTTAATCCAACACCTTCAGTCTCCTACACAAATGTGCTTAACCTCTAAACCACTGAGTCAGCAGTATACAATATTCACGAAATTTTTTCGTTCATCATTCAGATTTAGTTTTACAATTTTTCGCAAAATACTTTTCAACAATTGAATTATTTTTCATCAAAATCGTTCGAACCAAGACAAAATGATTTGACCAATTTGGTCTCGCGTGCTGTTACGGGTATGAGGGCGGTTGTCACTTCCCGGCTGCCCACACCGTGGAAGGTTGTTCACTTGAGGAACCTGAAAAGGAAAACAGATTAGTGTTGGTCTTAGAGACCTGGGTGCGTGACCGCAGAGCCCAAGGGACAACTGCTTGAGGCCGGTCACGCACGGCCTTTTTATGAGAGGTATTTGGAGGATCAGCTCCGTTCTTAAAGGCCCTTAGTGGGCACCCTTACCGCCGGAGACGGAAATATGTGAGTTACGGTGAGGTGTGAAATTTTTAGGGTCGACCTTTTCTAACCCTTCCTTCCTTGTGAGAAGGCAGCATCGTTGCAGATGCTGGTTGTCCGAGGGAAACACCTTACTGCTGTCACACCCCTCTGCAGTCAGTCAGCAGTACGACTTCGCCCTCAGACCTTGGGTAGCTGCTTTTAGTCTGATCGTTCTCCAATCGACCAGCCTGGCATGGTAGAACCTGCAGGAACATATGTTCCAGCCAGTATAGCTCGGTTGAATCATCACGATAGGCAAGCCCGACCACCATGTCAAGGTAGCAGCTACGGTCGGGAAGACAAAATGATATTTTGGCTCATTCATATAAATAAATAGTTTTTCCTTCATTTTAACATGAAAATTATTGATTTCATCATAAAACTATCAAAAAAAAATTATCTTACACAACACAAGATGCATAAAACCGCAAAATACAACTAACTGTTTGTATACACATATATATTGCAGTATACAACATACATATGTATGTATGCATGTCTACACATTTATACAGAAATGTGCTTCTACTTCTTCCTCGCATAATTTCCCTTATCTACTACTATCTCTTGTCTAAATGTTCATATTGATTTTTCCTTATTTCATTTTGTGTTTATCAGACAAAAACTAAAGTTTCGGTTAGTCAACCTAATAGGATGGCAAATCCTAGATTATTCACATGTATATATACACATAGAAGGAAATCATGCCAATTCGTAGAAATTGTCTATGAATGATGAAAGTATCCAGTCGCACACACAGCCACACAAACACACACACACAGATGTACGTTCACATGTAGACATTTGTGCCGGTTAAACACAAAACAGTAACCTCGTTATTCATCTTATCAACAAAAACAAACTAATAGTAATCATAATAATAATAATAATGACTACACACAAGAGAGGCAATGATGATGATGATGATGATTGTATTCAATATGAAGTGTAGATTGGTCAAATACACTAATGCATACAACTATATATATATATGTATATAGATGAAACAAATATAAAACTAATCAGTACCACAAAAATAAAATATGCGTACAGTTAACTTTTGAATTTCGCTACAACATTTAAAATAATCATAAAACGCGCCTAATTCAAAATTATTCAAGAAAATGATCAATTATCAACAACATTGTTGGTATTATATAACATGGCTTGGATTTATCTATCATTGTTTTAATCAACAAATTGTAGTTACATGTCAACAACAAGCACAGTATCAATCCACTGATTATGATTATTATCACAGAATAGGAGAAAGAAATGACGAGAATGACGATAGATTATTACCATTACTACCATCTGGTGTAATGATGAATGAACCAGAGAAACAATTTAATTTCACGTTATTAAATAATAATAATCAGAATAATATTCAAGATTCAATACCAATTATATCAGCTATTTCATTAGCTATTGTATTCGATTCAACTGGTTCAATGGGTAATGATTTAAAACAAGTGAAAATTGGTTCAAGACGTATATTACAACGACATTTACAACGTGGTGAAGCAAATTATATAAAAGATTTTGTATTAGTTAAAGTACATGATCCAGGTAAGTGTGTTTTGTTTGTTTAGTTGTGTAATAAAAATTGAAATTGAATTTTGAACTATTTTAAATTGTTGTATATTATTATTTAGATGAAATAAAGTTTTGGGGCAGAGTTTTGAAGGTTTTTGCGTTTTTACACATTTGAAATCATCATCGTCAGCATCATCGTGGATGCGCACTGCTGATGAGTCCCATACTAGGACGAAACGGCCGTCTTACAGTGCTTCCAAGTTTTTAATGGTGGTCTAGTAACAATGATTGATTGATGATTTCAAGTGTGTAAAAACGCAAAAACCTTCAAAACTCTGCCCCAAAATATCGTAACAGTGATCAGTAGTGACTAGCTTCGTGAGGAAATTCTCGGAGTTCTAGTTGAGAAGACGTGACCAGTGGAGTTCAACCTTGTCGGGTGTAGGCAGTAACTACCAAAGACAGTGCTGGGTGAGGTCGCGCGAAATCCCTAGATCAATCAGAGTTAGACATTAACACCGTTGGATACCACAGGACCAGCGGTCCGATGGTAAGGCGTTCGCCTACAATGCTAAAGGTCCCGGGTTCGAATCGTGCGAGGAGCAGGAGTCGTGGATGCACACTGCTGAGGGGTCCCATACTAGTACGAAATGGCCGTCTTACAGTGCTTTCAGGTTTCTAATGGTGGTCTAACAATGATTGATTGATTGATGATTTCAAGCGCGTAAAAACGCAAAAACCTCCAAAATTCTGCCCCAAAATGTTTATAGTTAGTTAATTTAATTCAGTTCGGTTGATTATTTTCATCAAAAAAATGTACCGTGTTGAAGAGATTGTGGAGTTTTATTGAAATCATGAATCAATCAATGTTAGACCATCATTAGAAATTTGGAAACATTAAATCCAAAATGCGTCAGTTGAATATATCTGTAACAAATTGAATATGAGAATTATTTGACTCAACCTCCAGTAAAAATATCAGAGATTAGATAGGGATACATCGGGTTAATAAATCCCTACAGTATAATAAACAAACAAGTCATTATTGAAACTTGAATTCAAAAATATTCAAATATCAATAATTAAAAAAAAGTAGCAAAATACAAATTTCTATCATTGAAATCATGAATCTACCAATGTTAGACTATCATTAAAAACCTGGAAGCACTGGATAACCGTTTGATCCTAATATGAGATTAATAAGCCATGTGAATCCATAACCCCACTAGTGGGAATCGAACGCAGGATCTTAAGTTTAGCGTTCGTGTCCGAGAGTACGTTTTTGATCATAATGCTATTAGTTAAAAGATGACAATTTCGAATTAATTGTTTGGAAAAAACATATACTCATTGTAATCATGAATCGATCATTGTTAGACCACCGTTAGAAACCTAGGAGTACTGAAAGACGGCCGTTTCACTCTAGAATGGGACTCATCAGCAGTGCGCATCCACGACACGGCCTTCGGCATTGTAGGCGAACGCCTTACCATCGGACCACTGGGCCGGTGGTATCCAATGGTGTTAATGTCTAACTTCGATCAATTCACGGTTTTGCGCAACCTCAACCATTGTCTTCAGTAGTTACTGTCTACACCCGAACAAGCTGAACTTCACTGGTCACGACTTATCGGTAGAATTCGGAGAAGATTCCTCACGGAGCTATTCACTAGTGAACACGTGTGATTGCATGAAGCTGTTGTGGAGATTGGTAGGTTATTCATTGTAACATTGGTCGATCCACGATTACAATGAGTAACTTAACAATATCCACAACCGCGTAATACGTATATTTATTCATTGTTTAGAATTCGGCTTTAAAACGAAATGAACTTTGCAACCAATCTTTTGATTACAGTTGAAGTTTTATAAACCAAATGTGTTCGGTTGCATTATCCTAATGTACTTACTTACTTACGCCTGTTACCCCCAACGGAGCATAGGCCTCCCATCAGTTTTTTCCAACCAACTCTATCCTGGGCTTCCCTCTCCAGTTCCACCCAATGTTTGTTCATTCCTCTCATATCTTTCTCTATTTCTCGGCGTAATATGTTCTTTGGCCTTCCTCTTTTCCTTTTGCCTTAAGGGTTACATGTAAGGGCTTGTCTCGTGACGCAGTTAGGTGCTTTTCGTATAGTGTGTTTTATCCTAATGTATTAAAATATTAATACAGTCAAGAAAATTGTTACAAATATAACATTATTACATCATAAAAATACTTATTTCTTTTTAGTTGTATATAATAAGTGATTTACAAGAAAAGATTTAATAATTTTTTGCTTAAATATTTTGAAATCAATTCATTTCAATTATCGATATTTTCATCATTCACTGTACACAAAAAATTATTTAATTACTTAGTAAAACGAAGACCTTTATGTTCTTCATTAAATTGAAACAGGACGTAACTGAAAGAAAAAATTTTCTTGACAACCCTATTATTTTCTACAACTGTACAATCGTATTGATAAAGATAATCTTTCACATAGATGGTAGCTTGACGTGGTGGTCGGGTTTGCCTGTTGTAATGACCCAAATCGTATTGTTCACTGTACAGGAGTGTGAACAATGATAAGGTGTTTACCTCGGACAACCAGCTTCTGCAGTGATGCTGCCTTCTCACAATGAAGGAAGAGGTTTAGAAATGGTCGACTCTAAAAATGTCACACCTCACCTTACCTCATGGATTTCCGTCTACGGCGGTAATGCCTTTTAAACAAGAAAGGAGCTAATATTTTAAAAACTTCTCATAAAACTCTGTGGAAAACCGGCCTCAAGTAGTTGTTACTTGCACTTTGCGGTCACACTCCCAGGTCTCTAATACCAACATTAATCTACCTTTTTGTTCAGGTTCCTCGAAAAAAACCCTTCAATGGTGTGGGCAGCCGGGAAATGACATCCACCCTCATATCAATGATGGTCAAACTTATTTAAATGAAAAATGATGAAAATGATCTGATATTGAGTAATATAGTCAAGATTATCATAAAAATTTCGAGCATTAAATGTAATAGTAATATTAATTTGTAAATGGATAGATATTATTTCTTCAATTAGAGTTATAGAGATCAGTGTTTCTACACGTTGAAATCATCAATCAATCAATTAATAGTTGTTAGACCACACGATTAGAAACCTAGCAGCAGTGGAAGATGGTCATTTCATTCTGGTATGGGACTACTCATCAGTGGCAGTGCGCATCCACGACTCTTGCACTTGGCGCAAAATCCCTAGATTGATCAGAGTTAAACAGTAACATCGTTGGATGCCATCGGCTCAGTGGTTCAGAGGTTAGGCGTTCGAGTGCAAGATCGATAGTTCTAGTTTTGAATCCTACCAGTAGTAGGATTCGTGGATGCCGTACTGTCACTGATGATTCCCATACCATGACGAAATAGCCGTCTTCCAATGATTCCAGGTTTCTGATGGTCTGGTCTAACAATGATCGATTGGTGATTTCAATGGAGATTATTTCAATATAATTAATTGAAACCTTTTGCTAATCTTGACTCTATTACTCAATATCAGTTCATTTCCAATAAGTTCCTGTTTAAATAAGCTTGACTATCGTTGATAATCTTACCATCGGCTACTACGTCAAAGATTACTTACATAAATACGATTTTACAACTTCAGAAGACAATGTGGTTGAAAAGAAGACTTTCTTCTTTATTACATCTTTCTTCTAATAAATCAACGGGCTTCTTGAGTGTTTGTAATATTTTTATCTCATATACTATTTGGGAAAACTAGATTTAGATTTATCTACAATGTGACCACTATCTACCACATGTGCTAAGATAGAACTGAGTATTGTTTTTGACTGACCCTTCGTAAACCATGCTGAGAGATGTTCACTCATTCGTTGTATAAGTTGCCTGGAAGTACGCCCGATAAAGCTACCTCCACAGGAGCAGCTGAATTTGTAAATTCACATAGAGGAGGCCAACTCAGGTAACTTATCCTTCGTTTGAGTAGACATCGCTCGTCGACAGGAGAATGTCAATGCAAGTTTGGCAGCGTTGAATGTTCTATTAATTACTCTTATTAATCTGTCCTGCAGAGTATCTCAGGCCACATCTCCGTTGAATTGTAACTTCATAAATAAAAGCTTCTTTTGGGCGGTCGAAACCACCGACTTCTTTTTTTACGGCAAACATATACTTCTTTATAAATGCGCTGGGATAACCAATTTCGATTAGTGAGCCATTGATGAATTCCAGGCAACTTACCCAACGAATGAGTGAACATCTCCCAGCATGGTTTACGAAGGGTCAGTCAAAAACAATACGCAGTTCGATCTTAGCACACCTGGTTGATAGTGGTCATATTGTAGATAAATCTAGATCTTTTCGGGTGATCTATTGTATACCTCCATCATCATTTCCCAATGGAGTTCGATCCTGTCTCCTACACATTGCAGAAGCCATAGGAATACGTACATTCAACCCTAAAACTAAATTTCTTTGTTACGATTTTACTAAAGACCATTCATTTACTCTTATCAATAGAGCTTTGACTAAGTCATTGGTTATGTTTATTTGTGGGATAGATACATATGTCTCATGTAAAATATTGAAATTAAAATAATATGGACTGAAAAAAATGAATTCAGGAAAAATCACTGAACATTGAACAGTTGTTGTTTAAAATTCAATGAATCTTATTTCTTCCCTTTCAAAAAATTGCGTTACGAAACACAATGCAATGATGACGATAGATTAGATAGAGAGTTTGGTTTAAATGTACCATGCGATTTTTCAGACTTTGTATAAAGTTAATTTATAAACATTGCTAAATAAAAGTGTTACACGATATAATACCTCATAATACAATACAATACAAAGCAGAAAGTAAGTTACGTGAAAGGAGTTTGTTACAATTATTCCAGAAAAAAAAAAGGATGATATCTGAAATGAAAAGAAATAATATTCATTTCATGTGATTGATAAAAAAGGTTGAAAACGGTATAAATTCATTAGTGAAATACTTAAACAACATTTATGAAGTTTAGAGCTATTACGCCTGCACGT